CTTTCCTTCCGCTCCCGGAGCTTCAAACAAGCAGAGCGAGAGACTTGAGTTCTATCTATACAACTCTTAACCTTCTGTTCGACTTCAAATGTGAGCGCCACGCTTCCCAAAGCTTCTCCATCAATTGCCGACTTGCTAATCTATAGCTCTAGCTCACCCCACCTCTCACACACCCCCACCATCACAATGTCTTTCCTCTTTGGCGGTGCCCCCAAGATGTCCTCGGAGCAGAAGATTGCTGCCGCTGAGACCGAGGTGGAGATGATTTCCGACATGTTCAACCGGTGAGTCGACCGATAACCCGGGCTTGAACGCTCTGCGTGAAGCTGTTCTTCTGACCCTCGATGACCGCCCTCCCTACACCATCTGTATCGGCAGGAAACTGACCACCGATAAACAAACTAGCCTGACCGAGTCCTGCACCAAGAAGTGCATCCCCAACGACTACCGCGAAGGCGACCTCAACAAGGGCGAGTCCGTCTGCCTTGACCGCTGCGTGTCCAAGTTCTTCGAGGTCAACATCAAGGTCAGCGAGAAGATGCAGGGTGAGGCCGCCAACAGACAGGGTGGCATGGGCATGGGCATGTAAAATGTTGATTGATATACTCTGGGGCTCAAAACTGTTTCCATTTATGTACTTGTATAATTGATTGGGTCTTCTTTTTTTCCGGGGAAAGTGGTGCGTGCATGTCTTCAGGATTTCTTGCGCTACATTTAACTACCCGTGATGACATATGGTTCTAGCATTTTGGATGACATTGTCTCTCACACATAGAAAGTGGTTGAACGGTTTATGGGATAAGATAGCATTGAGCATTGGGAATGAAATCTATCCTAGATGTGAAGGTTCTGTCTTCATTGCTCGTGTCCAGGTAGAGCTATGCATTAAAGGAAGCATGACATAAGATGTGGCTGAGATGCTGAGTTGTGGCTGGTGGCTGCTTTGACTGGACCACTCAAGTTGACCTGCCCAGTAGGCAGCTGCGTTCTATGCACCGTTAGTGGCGTTCATTGTTCTAGAAGCCAGTCCTGAAAAGGCAATACGAAGTTCTTCAGACTACTCCTAAACCATGTTCAAGGATGATCTGGTTCTTATTGAGTCGAGTTGATAATTGTCCTCGATAAAACCCTCGGCTCACCGCTCCCTGATAAGTCGCAACGGAAATCCCCTTGTGACGTCGTCGGCTGCAATGCCCGGCAACCAAGAGGAAACGCACCGCACCGCAACGCAACAACCACCCGCTTCACGGCCAACAACGCCTGTGCTTTTCTCCCTTTCACCCTCGCCAAATATATCCTCACGGGATGACATGGACTGACGGCTGCTAGCCTGGCACCTCACGTTGAAGCTTGAGGCTCCATCAGCGCCCCCATCCCTTTCCCCCCTCATCCTGTTCGAAGTTTCTCAGATATGTCAATGGCACTTGCTTTCTTTATCGCTGGTCCAATCGAGAGAACACCCCTGGAGGGTTAACTATTTTGTGTCGCGTTCTTCTTTCTACTCTTACAACGTTCGAGCTCTAGTTCCCTGGCTGGTTCTAACGCTCGTCTCCTCGCTACCCTCCTCGCCCAGAAATCGAAGCTGTACTCATATCCCTTATGTGTTAGGGAAGCTGGTACCGTTTCCTACGACATGCCACCATCATCTCCCACGCAGACTGGTGGGCCTGCCACACCTGCTGCGATAGCAACACGAGAGCCGACCAAAACAGTACCGAAAGAGAGTCCGCTCGTGCAAACGAACGGCCCCGACGGACAGTCGCCGCCCCCACGGCCGGGCCACCAGAAACTCGTCTTCACCGACCCGGTTGCCTTCCGCTACCTGGAGGAGGATCCGGCGACCACAGTTTTACACCGGCGAATGACTCTGGATGGGTACGAGGTCTACATTGTTGAGCAATGGGCGTGCACGCGGATTCACCCAACTTTCATCATCACAACCTACACGGGAGATCCGTCGCACAAAGTCGCCGTCGGGGTGCTGAGCGTCCCGACGGATGAGTCGACGTGGTCGCCCCGTCTGCGGCTGTACTTCAACGCTGTGGTACAATGCCAGGCACAGAAGCGAGACACTCCCCTGGGGACGCTGATGGTCACCGATCTCAGCATCTTTCCGTGCGCCCTGGCACTCATACCCGTCCCGGACGGCGATGTCCTCAGACACAAGGATGATTTCATAGTCAATGAAAACCTAAAGAGGTTAGGTTGCTCGGGCCGTGCCAGCTTGAAGCTGCAACCCCCGTCGCCTGCTACCGAAGCCAAATTCCACCAACTCTACCGCACCAGCGAGAGAGTGCCCCTCTATAGTGCCGTGGTCGAGCTGGTGAAACAGTGCCAGATCGCCCTGATGATGTTCGGCAACCTGGCGCCGGAGTATGTAGACGGTCTGCTCTGTGATATGACCGAGGCAGCCATAGCCGATTGGTGGACCGAGATTGGGATGGACTTGTACAACATCGAACCCAGCGACAGTATGCTGGGCCCCATTTCGGTCTCGGCTCTTCTCGGAACTCTTATCGGAGCCCGGAATCGGCTGCATGCGTTCGGTGCCCCCGTTGGCAAGGACGCGTTCGACATCCCGAACCTCAAACGAGGGATAGGGAGCTTCCAGAAATCACAGAAGATGAAACGGACCAGACGGCTGGACCGCCAGACCCTGGACCGACTGCATCGAGTCACTGCGAAAGCTGCAAATGCCGAGGGCTGGACCGACGCGGTGAAGTCAACGGTGGCCGAGCTGAGCGGGCATGGCGGTGAGATGGTGATGGGGATGGTTAGGGGTCGCGAAAAGGGCGGTATCGCCGATATCGAGACTCTGGACATTGACACCTTTGCGCGGCTGGTCAAAGGCGAGAGGGCAAAGTGGCTGTGGAGGGGCAAACCACGCAAGGGTGCCATCGGCGAGTCGTTCGGTGGCGGCCCGGCGGCAGCGGACATGCTTTTCACCAACGACGAGCAAGGCGGCTATCTTTGGACGACGCGGAAGAGACATTCTCAAGAGGATATGACGGTGGATCGACCGCCACCGGAGGCAGATCGCCCACGGAAACCTTCTGAATCAGCCGCCACCTTCGACGAGAAGGATCAGAACCTGAGTAGTATCGTGCGGAGAGGCGTGAGTGGAAAGGTGTCAGACGCGCGAGCGGGATTTGGCAGATTCAAAGATGCGGTGGGCCTGCGATCACATCCGTCGAAGCATTCCCGGGAGGGGCAATATGGTTATGGCGATTCGTCTCACTTGCCTCCGATTGACAGTGACACCGAACCAAATCAACCGAGAAAGCCCGATGACGGTGATCCGAGCACTGCAGAGCAAGGAAGCATTCATGAGTCCGAGGGCCGAGCTCTCAACGAGGATGCCGCGGCTGCCGAGTCTGTACCAAGCGTTGTGCCCCCACAATCACCCGAAGCAAAGACACCCGCAATCACGGTGGAGGCCGTTCCGGACACTGCCGACTCGGAGTCTGCCCACAAGGTCCCGGTCTTCCAGCCGCCCTTCGAGGAAGAAGTGCCCGATGAAGAGTCCCGCCGGAGGACCCCTTCGACCGACATCTCCGCCGATCGAGAGCGGACGCCCGACATTGGGATCATGCTGCTGCGCCGGCCGCGGAGTTGCGTCCAGCTGCCAGGCTCGGAGGAGCGGTCGATGCCCGAACGGACCGACGGCCACTGGCCACGGCATCTGTCCTTCAGCACCGTGGAGGAGGTGGTGCTCGGCTGGGATGGGATCGGCGGCAGCATCCAGGAGCGGCCCGACGCCACCCTGGAGGAGGCGATCCTCCACGAGGACGTCCTCGCCTCGGACGCCCGCCTCTTCAGCGCCCAGATCCGCGAGCTGAGCGAGCAGACCGCCCCCTGGGTCGAGCAGCAGGTGACCTCGGTCGACGACCTGAACCGCTGCTTGCACGAGAGCTACGAGAAGATCAACGCCGCCTACTTGGAGCGGCTCGCGGTCTTCCAGCAGCTGCGCGGCAAATCCACCGACCTGCTGTCCGAGGAGCACACCCACCTCACCGACTACATGCGGCGGGTCGAGCTGATGGGCGCGAAGCTGGACTACGAGCTGCACGTCCTGGAGTCCAAGGTCGAGGACGTCGAGGCCGGGCTCGGGGAGTTCGAACGCCATGTCGCCGACGTGGAGACGAGGGTCCGGTTGCTGGTCCGCGGGGAGAAGGAGAAGGATAGGGAGAGCAGCAGCAGCAGCAGCAGCAACAACAGCAGCAGCAACGGTGGCTCCTGGCTGTCCTGGCTGGGCAAGTTGGCTGGTCTGTAGGGTTGACTTGCGTTGAGTTTGAGTCCAAGTCGCCCGGGACGAAAGAGAATCGTGTCCGCGTTTGTGTGTAAGAAGTATATTTGCTATCTCTGTTCCAGCACTTCGAGTTGTATACCCCCTGTTTAGTATAGACGAGAAAGAGAATGTAATAAAACGAAAAGCAGACGCTAGTATATACCACATTTGTTTTGTGTTCCAGGGATGTGCCTAACCCCCGGCGGGAATTTTTGTTTTACCCTGCGCGATGGGTATAGTAAGGACGGCTCGGCAACATCTAACTACCGTCCATTACGAGTTCTTGGTTTTGAAGCAAGCATAGTAAACAGTAACGTCATTCTATAAACGGCATTTTTCTGCCGAAATCTGACCGTGCCTGAAAACTCCAGGCCAGCGAAGTTTGATTATTTGCGAGCGGTTGAGGCGGTCGGTCGAAAACCGAGGCGTCCATAGTCTAGGTGTCAGTCTACGTATATAACCGACTCTAGTTACTGGGGAGCGGACCACCCCAACCACCGGTCTCTGGGCTTGCTTGCTCTCTCTCTACAACTGACAACAACAACATAATCAGGATCCCAGGGCCATCCATTCAGGCTCATGCATGCGGCTAGATCATCTCGGAAAGAGCTCAAGGATTTTGGAGCTTGTCTTCGGATTGAAATCATTTTGATCTTTATAATAGAATAATAGGAAATATGTACACCTACTCCTGACACTCCAGCCCTTGCGCTACGCTTCTGTAAAAGAAAAACCCCGAATATCCAGCCCGACCCAAGTCCCGATAACGCCGCAAACAAGAAAAGGAAAGATTAATAGAAAGACATATAAACAAAAAACAATGTACGTACTGAGTTCTGACCCTGGACGCCCGCTGATTACATGGTAAGGAGGAGGAGGTAGTGTATGTACTTACTTGTAGCCTTGCTTTGACGATGACGCAAAAAGGGTAAGAAAACGACCTAAAGGAAAACCTTTCTGGCCTCGCGGGGGTGGCTCTCGCTGGGGCAGTAGGGGCATTTGAACCGGCTGCCCTTGCACAATCGTTTGAGGGATTCCTCGGCAATGACGTGCCCGCAGGGCATCATCATGGGTGGGTTCTCGTCGGTGGTCTGTTCCTTGGAGACGGGACAGACGAAGATGGAGTGGAAGAGGTAGGATGGCGGGAGGGGGATTTCGACCTGCAGGGCGTGAGTATCATTAGAATTCTAGCGGTGTGCGGGGATTTTATTTTCATGGGGCAGTCTTACGGGAAGCTCGTTCTCGGTGGTCCACTCGGTGCGTTTGGCTTTCATGATGGTCTGGAGTTTCAATAGCGTTGGGAGGGCGATTGCGCCGGCGGTGGCGGCGATGTATAGGGGCGAGTCCGCGGAGAGGCCGAGCAGCGAGCAGAACTCGCGCGTGAACGAGTGTGCTACGTCGGACCAGGCCGAGGGGTTGTTGAAGATGCTCCGGTAGGGCGAATCCTGCAGGTTGGGGCTGAAGGCCATCGCGCCGATGAGCTGCTGCACCTCGCGCAGGTATCGGGGCAGGAAGCCGTGGAACTCGCGGCGGGCGTATTCCAGAGCCGCCTGTCGTCCGGCAGGGGTGGGACCCTGCTGCTCGTGGGCCCCGTGGAAGAGCCAGACAAACTGCAGCCGGCAGAGCTCGAACTCGAGATTGCTCCCCCGCGCCGCCAGCGCCTCGTCATTGTCCCGGGCCCATTGTATGGCGGGGAGCAGGTTGTTGTTCTCTTTCATCTCGTGGAGGATGTAGTACATCGTGGCGAACTGTTTGCGCACCTCGCCGGATGGAACCTCGTCGATGTCGAGGATGGATGCGGCATTCTCAGAGGCGTTCGCCGTGTTGGCTTGCTTTTTCTCCGCAGCCTTCTTTTCCGCCATCTCGGAGAGGAAGGTGGCCGCCACCGAGAACTGCCCCTCCCTCAGCAGATGCATCGCGATGGCCCGGTTGATGAGGTGTTCCTGGGAGGAGAGGAGGTCATGTTCGGTGCTCGGGAGGGGTCTGTCTTTGAAGAGCTAGGAGGACTGTCAGCCAACATCCAGGCGGGGTTTAAAGATCGGACGAATCCGGGCTCCGTGCTACCTTATCCAAGGACTTGGAGTATTTGTTGAGACCGCTATGGGTTTCTTTGAGATTGTCATTGATGGAATCGAAGGAGGCTTTGACCGGATTCTGTAGCTTGGCGAGGATGATTGATGCTTGACTCGGATCTGGTTGCGATCTCCTTGTCAGTATAGTTCGGTGACTGCGGGGTGGTAGGCCTGAGGCGAGAACCAACCTGCAGCAATGGCGTCCCGCGCGTTTTGCAGTAGATCTATCGAGTTTTGTACTGACTTGAGGCCTTGAGCGGCCTTGGTCTTCTTTACGAGCCTCTCATGTTCTTTTTGCACGAGCTCCATGGTGAGGGGGGCAGGCTGGAGGCGTATGAAAGCGGTGTCCGAGAGTTACCGCTCTTTGAGGGCGGAGCTGGCAATAGCCATAGATTGAGGATTCCCAAGATAGGCGTTTGCTTACTGGTGTCTCTGGCAATCAATAAACAAAAGCTTTCAGATTGCGGAGACAGCTGCAATAGTCGGGCAAGTAGAAGAGAAGCAGGAAGAGATCGAGGGATCTGGAGGGGGTCACAATGCATGGGCAGGTGAGTGTTCGGAGCAGGTGAGCAGGTGAGCAAAGCAACTCGCTCTCCGTGGTAATACGACACTGTGCTGTCGCAGCCAATTACGACATGTCACGTCACGTGCTGCCGGGTCATCGCCGATACCTGCCGTACTGTGCCTTCAGTGTGAGGGGTTCAACAGCATTTACTCCGTCTCTTCCCTCATCCTTCTCATGCGGAGTGTCACCTCAATTGGCGCAGTCTGTAGGTGCCCGACACATTTCCCAAAAGCACCTAGGCCTTGGTTACTTGCAGGCTAAGCCTGACCACACTGAGAATAATCATCCATGGAACAGTTAGGTCGAGTTTCAGCAAGTCATGGGAGTCAATGGCTGAATTCTCAAGATGGGAAGGATGGTCGGGACACCCTCCGATCTTCCGCTTAACTCGTAGCCTGCCAGAGTGTGCCAACGGCTTCTTTTCCAGGCATGAACAGTAAAAAGCCTGGGGCCTGAGGCCTCAGGCCTCATATTGAGGACACGGCAAGGGCCACCATAGGTAGCCAATCAGAGCTCAGAGCGCCTCTCGCTTCTGCCTAGCGCGGTGAGTCAGGCTTGGCGGGGATATATAAGCTTCCCGCCCTCGCCGAACTTTTAGAATTTTTTTTTCTTTTCTTCTCTATCCTGGTGCACGGGTTTTACACGTGTCAGTGAGGAGACATCCGAGACCGTGTTTTTGCTAGTTGAAAACTACTTTTTTGACCGCTCTGACTGGCCTTCGGGTCGGTCAGGAATTTTTGAAAAAAAAACACTGCTCTGAGCCCTGTTATGTTCTGGGCTCAGTTAGAGTACGTAGATGGCTATATGCTTGCTGTTGTCTTCCCGTGCGAGGCTTGACTTCCATAGGCTATACTCGTCAATCGGTCTTCTTTTCACTGCTGTTTGCTTCCCCAGTTGGAAGCCTGTAGAGAAGAGAGAACTCAAGCGTAGTAGTAAAGTTGAAGTTGCCATTGCGAAACTACCTACACGATAGCTAGCTGTGCTCCCTAGCTGGATGTGTAGTGTCGACGATCCTCGGATCATGAACCTGTCAAATGAGTGCTTCTCTGTCTGCGTGAAGCTGCCTGGCCATAATGTTGTCATCGTACTCCGTAGCTGGCGCTGTAACTTCGGCTCTATGCATGTTTGATGAGATGCACGCACTGGTCATATTCGACCTGTCTGTCACCAGCAGGAAGAGGCCGAAATGATAGATCGCGAGATGCCGGCAAGCAGCGGACAGGTGCGGACGGTGTTGTGGTGGTGATTTGCTGGTGTGGTGGCAGACCCTCCAGGTCCACACCCCCTTTCCGCCTCTTCGGCCTCAATCATTGGGCAATGGCTTCACCCGTGACTGCGCGATCTTTTGGCGATGGAACCTCAACCACTTTACGCGTGCATTACCGGATCTTACGCGTGTGCTGCATGCCCCTCCTCCATCCATGCTGCCTTCAGCTGCTGCATCCAAAAGCCTATCGAGTCCCTGTCGTCCCAGCCTGCAGCAGACTACTTCTACAAGGATGTCGAGTCTAGATGATTTCTCTTTTTTCGGTGTTGCCAATGGGAAACACCCCCCGTGAGGATCCGTGGGGGGGAGAGACTCCTTTTCCCCCCTGGGGCTTGGGACTTATGCCACTAACTACTCAAGGAAAGACAATACTTACATACAGGTTTCCATTTCACTCATCGTTTCATTGACTTCCAAGGAAGTCCATCACCTTGGGAGATTCCTAGCCTTCATTCCCTCATCGAGCGCAAGACTGTTTTCTTCTCTTTCTCTGACTCCCTACCCCCCTCACTTTTCGCCAACCCCTAATTCACAAACATGTTAGCTCTACAGCAACAGCAACAACAACGAAGCAGGAGTAGTAGTGGTAGTCCTAGAAATATCTCCACCAGACGACAGCAAGCTCACCCCGAGGCCTTTTCCTCACGATATGGAGCCGGGAAATCCAGCACACGCGTCCTGAGAACACGATCTCGCGAACGACAATCGAGTACCTCCCGCCGTCTCCTACAACAACAACATCGTCGGCGGGAGCCCCCTGATAGTCCCCCAGATGGCAGGTCTGTTTCCCCCCATGATACAGTCGCTTTCACGATTTCACCCAGCTAAACCGCAGCGCTATAGCTCCCTCACCCCGGCGACAGTCACCCTCTGCGTAGGACCTGAGAAGCGTCTCTTCGCCGCTCACAGGGACATCATCTGCGTCTCCCCTTATTTCGCCGCCGTGTGCGCCGGTGCCCGTGCTGCCTCCACGGATCCGAACAACACCTCCTCCAACAATCCCATCCATCTCCCCGACGAACAGCCCGAGATCCTGTCCTGCATCCTCGAATACCTCTACCGGGGCGACTACTTCCCGCGACTCCTGCACAACAAAACCCGAAACACCTGGCAGCTGGAGACGGCCTCTTCAACGACAGGGAGTAGCGATGCTGAACCAGATGGCGCAACCATCTTCCATCCGGGAGTAGGCGCGGAGATCCTGCGAGATACAGCCGTATAGTAAGTGTTCCCCTGCCTCGCCTATGTGTTTTGTAACCCAGTATCTCCTCTTTCGATCGTCCCAATATCCATGTCCACATGTACCGTACAGAATCTATAACCCACCCACCCACCCACCCACCTCCCGTCTAAAGATTCCCCCTCCCAATCCAACCTCCAGTACCTACCCAAAACCCATGCGTATCCCCAAGAACCCCCCACCTCCCTAAACCCCCCCACGAACCACCAACCTAAACCCCACCAAACTAACTCCTCGGGTTTGAATGAAACAACAGCTGCGCGGCCCAAAAATACGGCCTGGAGACCCTGAAACGCCTCGCCCTCCGCAAGCAAGGGCTGCACTCGGGCATCTCATGCAGCACCATCCTGACGAGCGCGCGCTACGCCTACGCGCACACGCCGGACACCGAGTCCAAGCTGCGGGCCCACTACCTCGCCCTCATCATCCGGAGCCGGTCGACCTTCAAGCGCAGCGGCACCATGCAGATGGAGATGGAGCAAGGCGGGAAGCTGTTCTTCGATCTGTTCGTCGCTATGTGTAATCATATGGTGAGTCCCCCCCGTTCTTCTTCAAGGTAGAAAGGATAAGGTAGGATCTGGGCAGCTTTGGTTTGCGGAATGCTGACTTTTCACTTCTTGTGTTTGGGGGATAGGATGATTTGACGGGTGCGTCGGGGAAGCAGCAGCAGTCTATGGCGAGTACGATTACGTAGGCTCGGAGTGTATGTGTTATGACTCGAGAATGAGGTGGCACTATAGATGAGGACGGGGTAGATGTCGCCCCCCCGGCCCACCACCACCTTCCCTGCTGGTTTTTCGGGGCGGAGAATTGGGTGGGCTCTGGGTTTTCGGGCATGTGGACTGTATCAAGCTTGGCAAGCTTTGTATAATGTGCGTGTATACCTCATTGACTGTACTCTGGAATGTATGTATTTGTTAAACAGTTGGTTTAGACAGTCAATTTATGCAATTGCTGGATATCTCGGTTTTTTCTGCAAACAAGGTATGTATGTATACAACGGGGTATTTCCGTCGCTAATCTGCATGATTCCAGTGTCTAAAGTCTCTCGTCGCATAAGTCAAGTGTCATGGTGCACGCTGATCAAGAAAGCCCCGTACCCTTGAGCGTCGCCATCACCTGGTGGGTAGAGCAATCTTCCGATGATGATCTTGATCAAATGCTCGTGTGCCGATTCCTGCTGGTCTCATGCCAGGGCGAGTGAGGTGTGATCAGCCCGGAAACCAGGCTGGGGATTTTGCGTGACCAACTTACGGCCAGCGGGTGCCGGGTCCGATGCGCCTAAATACGGCTGCTGATGACGTTGAGATCGAGGCATCACTCAATTCATGGTCAAAAGTCTCATATCGAGAAAGGTAAGATAACAGAGGCTCAGTTTAGACGCCCGTTCCCGGAAATGCGGACCCGCCCTTGCTCAACACGACCATACCACGTTCGCGCGCGATATATCCCTTCATGAGACCCTAAGGGGCAAGTCAGTTTCATCGAGCCAGGCGTACTGCAAGTCAACTATTGGGGGCGAAACTAACCTTGTATATCAAGTTCGATAGCAGACACTCCACCTCGTCGATATCCACCCGGGACCTCTCGTCTGCATGTGTGCCAATGCGGACCGCAGCTGCGAACTCGGCGACAGGTACGCGGGTCCGGCGAATCGGAGGTTGGCCGTCCTTGGACTCCTCAAACCCTCCGGCGATAAACACCTTTCGGAAGAGATTCCGCAAGGCGATGTCGCGTCCCCTCTCCAGAGGTAGGTAGATACGTCGTTTGACAAACTCTTCCTCGCCAGCGGACATCGCCGCATCGAAGCCTCCCAGATCGCCTATCTTGATACAATTGCATAGGGGACGGTAGAGCTTCTCAAGGCGGGGGAAGGGCGCCAGGAGCTTTTTGCTGGGTAGCGTGTGTGTCGTAACCAAGTGGCAAGGGATGAGGTAGGTGAGGATGAGTCTGGGTACACATTAGTACGGACACCCAGACAGAGGAGAAGCATACTCACTCCCGATTCTTCATTGCGCTGCGATGGCACATCCTCCAGGCCTCCGCCAAATGCTGCTCAGCCTGCCAGGCGTCAGTCTAGGTTGATCAAGTACATATGTAGGCGCACGTACCTCGGCGTAGTTCTCATCGAGGAAGTGAATGACTCCAACGTAGTATTTGAAGGTGACAATGTGGGACTTGGGGAAGGCGTCTAGTTCGGGGAGGTCGGCGGATTGCGCATTAAGAGCACGCAGTAAGTTCTTGGACAGGCCAACGGTGTTGAGTTTGAAATAGGTCTTGAACAGGAGGTTGGTCGTGTCGTAGACCCCCCACTTCCGGGATTCCTCGATCGGAGACCTACAGCGTTGTTGCGATTAGCAAGGATGGCGTCGACACACATGTGATGTCGGATAACCTACCGGTCAGTAAGGCACAACGTGAACATCCGGTTCAGCACTCGAGTAGCCTCCTCCAGCTTCGCATTCTTCTCTAGACCAGTGGCCACATCATCTTGGAAGCCATCACCGAACCCATCGGACTCCTGGGAAGCGAGCTCGGCATCGGCTTTCCTCGCGAATTGTCGCAAATACCTCCCAACCACATACAGACATGGAATCGTCCATGCCTGGAGACCGCCCGTCGAGTATCCCCGGATAAGCTGGTTGGCCGTCTCCTTCCACGCATTGAACACCTTGACCCAGCTGGCGCGCGAAGAAGCCTCCTCGAACCGAACCAGCTCCCCAGCAGCGCTCCAGTATGCCGCGAAAATGTCCACCCATGAGTTTTGTTCCTGCTTCGGTAGTCGTATGCCATTGGCCTGGAAGAGGGAATAGCGAAGGTCGGACGATAGACGCGCGGCGTTGGAGAAGTAGTAGAATGACTGTAAACGGCCAGGGTTCGCGGCGGTCGAGACGGGGGTAAGAGCTGCGGCTAGGTGGTGACCAGAGCCAAGTTTCTGGCCATCCTTGAACTCTTCAAAGATTGAGCCCATTGTGGGATGGGAGGGAATGGGGTATGTATGACAGTCCCTAGCAGCCAGTAAGTGAAGATGATATGTCAAGCACTCGAGGGTGGCCGGAACGGTTCAAGAAAGCTGAAGATGAGACTCGATAGACAACAAATGACCCTGCCCGATGATGAAACGGCGATCGGAGAAGGCGGGGAAGAAGAAGCGGATGCCGCCCGCCGAAAGGCCTTATCTAATCCTCACCGCCACAGCACTGTGGCTGAAGGACCCGATTAGGAATAGCACCAGCCAAGCCTCACGGTCGCTTAGCCCTAAGGAGGGTTAAACCTAGCTCACAATCAATCCGGTTCCCAAAAATCCTCCCTTCCGCGACGAGTACAACCGGCACATCTCTCGTCGACTAACCACTACAGCGTCAATCAAAGTGAGCCCACCCTTTTTGTCCCTCTTTTTACTGCCAGGAAATTGTTACTGACTGAATTTACCAGATGGGTGAGTTAACTTTTTTTTTTGAATTTTTCGACATGGTCCCCTTGGCGGTTCGGTTTCTTTTTTGCGATGAAATATTTTTGCGATCGATGAACGACACCACGGAGATGGAAATTTGCTCGACCACGATTGAACTTCTTGACACGCGCGAACGGAGGAAAAATGTGACGGGGTTTCGGTTTGACAAGGGAGGATAAACAACAATCGAGGAAGACACGACACGTTATCATCTTTTACTCGAGTCGCCACTATTCGATCATGTACACCAGTACTCGAATCTTACCACGCAGACACCAATCCATCGATCCAAGCCAATCCACCAAGGGGACCGCACAGTCAGGCTGTCGGATGGGTTTTCTGACTGGAATCAATAGGGCGTCTCCAAGAGTACCAGGTTATCGGGCGTCACCTGCCCACCGAGGCCAACCCCACGCCCAAGCTGTACCGCATGCGCATCTTTGCGCCCAACACCGTTGTCGCTAAGTCGCGGTTCTGGTACTTCCTGACCCAGCTCCGCAAGGTCAAGAAGGCCAACGGTGAGATCGTCAGCCTCAACGTGGTATGTCTCCGCAGAAAGAAAACAAACCAATGGCAAGTGTCGGCTGACACTCGACCTCTCTCCAGATCAGCGAGAAGCGCCCCCTCAAGGTCAAGAACTTCGGTATCTGGCTCCGCTACGACTCGCGCTCCGGTACCCACAACATGTACAAGGAGTTCCGTGAGATGAGCCGCACCGAGGCCGTTGAGGCTCTCTACCAGGACATGGCTGCCCGCCACCGTGCCCGTTTCGGTTCCATCCACGTACGTTCCATCACTACTGCCTCCTTTTCGGAGGCTCTCAAAAACAGCACATTCCTAACGAACCCCCGCAGATCCTCAAGGTTGTTGAGATCGAGAAGGCCGACACCATCCGCCGCCCCTACATCAAGCAGCTCCTCACCAAGGACCTCAAGTTCCCCCTGCCCCACCGCTCCGTCAAGCCTGGCAAGAAGCTGTACGCTTACTCTCGCCCCTCTACCTTCGCGTAAATGTGAGGATTTGGGCGTGGGGAAGTGGAGTGTAGGAATGAATGACTATGTTATGGCCATAGCATGCACGAAGGACACGGATCACGCGGAGAACAAGGCGTGTATCTACAACCCAGAAAATGGGACGGATGGTTTTTATGTCTCTTTAGTAGTCCTCTGCAGCGACCCTTTCAAGTTATTTCACAAAAATACCGGGGTTATTTCTTTTTTGTTCACTCAACCTACTTTTCTGGTTCTGTGGGTTCGTAGATTTTCATCCTTCGCTGGGTTAAGATAATTGATCCGTATGTGACTAAATCTTGAGTCGCTGGCTAGAACAGTCGGCCTCCCCTCTTGGCCAGCCTGAACCTCTCCGCTCCGTCAGGTTCGGCGTTATGTGTCCGCCCACGCCAAGTCCGGGGGGTAGATCTTGATGGCAGTGTGACAGCAGAAACAGCAATCAGGGCCTGGCTCGGATCTATGCATAGTGGGTACGAGGGCTGGCACATCCGTTGGATGAACATTTGAGAGGATGTGGGAAAAGACATTCCAGGCTTGACATCATCCACCTTCCGCCCTTGATCCGGCTGCAGGGTGCAGATAGGAAGACAGCCACTTGGTCGTTCGCCTTTCGATGAGCACGCCATCGGCTCAGTCTAGTGGTTGTGCACTGCTTCTGTGGGTGAACATGCACGGTTACGTATCAAATCGAGGCATCGGCAGCCGTTCATCTTCCTTAGGTGAGCCTCTTGGTAGACGATTCCTGTTGCTTCAGAGTCGATTTGGAAGTAGATATAATCGATTTCCGAGATCGCAGTTTGCCACGGACTATCTATATCCGTTATTCCAGAATCGAGAAGCAACGGCGTCCTGGCCCCGAGGACACAAAGATGACTTCTCTACATGCAAGTCACAGAACGGCCTCAATAGATGAAGCGCATGTTCTTTTGTAAGAAAAAAAACTCAGGTATGCGACGATACACGCAATGCCTCGACAACTGCCTACCATGATCCGACCCCGATTGCCGGGACCGGGTTAGTAATACCTGCGGAATTACCGCCAGGAACGGACATTGCGTCATGTGCGAGAACGGCGCTTCGGAGTCCGAAGTGAAGGGGAGGATCTCAAATATCTCCCTTACCCGTCCGAGCTTGTCCCAACTCTCTCCGCACCCACCTCCCCAAACAGTCCCATTGAGCACGTTTTTGTCCTCAATCCGACATTTCAAAATGTTCGCTCGTCAAGCTTTCCGCTGCTCTCAGTCCCTGAAGCAGGTAAGCACTTCATCCGAAAGATTGTTGTGTCTAGCGGTCGCAATCTTTCCTGCCCGTGCCTGGGACCGAATTCCTCCGCCGGGAAGAATGAATTTGCGCTGATTGATTGCTGTTTTGATAGGGCTTCCGCAAGTACTCCACGGAGGCGCCCAAGGCCAAGGCCTCCTTGGCTCCTATCTACGTCGGTGTCGGTCTTGCCGGTCTTGGTGTTGGTTTGTACCGCTACAACTCGGCCTCCTCTGCCACCGCCGAGGCCCCCGTCGTCCGCGAGAAGGTTTTCAAGGGTGGTGACCAGGGATGGTTCGACCTGAAGCTGTCCGAGATTGAGGTTCTCAACCACAACACCAAGCGCCTGCGCTTCGAGTTCGAGGACAAGGAGGCTGTCTCTGGTCTCCAGGTTGCCTGTGAGTCGAACGAGAGGTCCCACTACTGGAGAAATTTCGTCGACAACTGATGTGTGTTCCGTTAGCTGCTCTCTTGACCAAGTTCAAGCCCGTCGATGCTAAGGCCGTGATCCGCCCTTACACTCCCACCAGCGATGAGGGTTAGTGGCGCGTTTTTTTTTCCCTGTTGTTCGCCGATCGGAATACTGACCCTGCATATGCAGAGACTCCCGGGTACATCGACCTTGTCGTCAAGGTCTACCCCGACGGAGCCATGTCCAACTACCTGCACAACATGAACGTCGGCCAGCGCCTGGACTTCAAGGGCCCCATCGTCAAGTACCCCTGGGAGACCAACAAGCACAAGCACATCACCCTGATCGCCGGTGGCACCGGTATCACCCCCATGTACCAGCTGGCACGTGAGATCTTCAAGAACCCCGAGGACCAGACCAAGGTCACCCTCGTGTTCGGCAACGTGACCGAGGAGGACATCCTCCTGAAGAAGGAGTTCGAGGAGCTCGAGAACACCTACCCCCGGCGCTTCCGGGCCTTCTACGTCCTGGACAAGCCCCCCAAGGAGTGGACCGGTGGCAAGGGCTTCATCAGCAAGGAGCTCCTGAAGACCGTCCTCCCCGAGCCCAAGGAGGAGAACATCAAGATCTTCGTCTGCGGTCCCCCGGGCCTGTACAAGGCCATCAGTGGCCCCAAGAAGAGCCCCGCCGACCAGGGCGAGCTGTCCGGTGTCCTGGCCGAGCTGGGCTACAGCAAGGACCAGGTGTTCAAGTTCTAAGCCAGTTGTACATGATAACCATGAAGCTCTCTCTGTTTCGTTTCGGCGATTGCTCTCTCCCACGGAGATTCGAATGTGGACCCCCTGTGGGGGTTTTAGAAGGCACGTCCTTGTTATATTAGAGACCTTGGATCTAGCAAGCAGTGATTTTTCCTGCGAGCAGGCGCGAAATGATATACCTAGCTTTGATCTTTCAAGTCTTGCGTTTACTGTGTATGGCAGCAGTTTTGCTTCGCATAGACCACAGAGCACTCTCGATCTTCAGCGTGACTGTAAATAAAACATCTTGCGGACTGATCTACTGTTCAACACACTTCGGGTCTGGATGTAGTTCAATTCGACAGTCCCCGAATTTCATGTTGTAGAAGATGAACAATACGCTTTCCGATTCAGAGTGTCTTGTGAACCAGACATAAATTGAGGACAATTCGGCATGAGCACCAGACCTGGGCCGGGGGGGAAAGGGGCGGGGGCATCATGCTGCGCCGGGCAGTGTTTTGGGGGGGGGGGGGGGGGGGGGGGGGTTGGGCTACTATTTCGAGTCTTTGTTGTTGTTGTTGCTGGGGGGGGGGGGGGGGCGCGTATGGACAAAATATATAGTAACTCTAGTTAGGTATCGTGACCTCACCGACAAGTCCAGCTGTATCACACAACATTGAACAAACCCCATCCATCCTCTTAGCATTTCGCGTACGGACTAGGATCAACTACAACAATGGAAAATCTTTATTCAAAGAAACCTTACGCATCCGCATTGTATATATATACCCCAACACGACTGATCACAGAAGGTGGTTTTTGTATTCCAGTTGGTGGTGGTGGTGGTGGTGGGCGGCTACCTAGCTAACCCCCTCGGGAGGGAGGGGGTTAGCAAGTGCGCTGCACGGCAGGGTTGACGAACTCGAACTCGAGCGAGGTGCAAGGTGCAGGTGCGTGCGGGGTACTCACTGTACCGTACCTAGAGCAAAGCGGACGCGCCCGGAGCGAGGTGGGTGTACAGTACCAGCGGTGAGTGTAGATTCGAACCGGATTTACTGGTCTAGTGGACAAAGAGATGAGGACACGAAGGAGTATGGT